TCACTGCAGTGATTAAAGCTTCTAACAGAAGCTTACTTGCTTTCTTTTCAGAGCCAATCCAATCACTCACTGTGAACTTTAGCTGTGGAAATGTAAACAAAGGATGTTTTGGCAGCACACTTTCACTCACCTAGTCTTACACTGGCCCAGCAGCAGTATTTAAAAGCATTAAAAATTTCTGTCGCAGAATAATCAATTATGCAGCTTATTCATATTCATTTAAGTCTGTCTCATATTCAGTTATGGCCATAATGTCTTCATTCAAAGTTGAAAGACTGATTTCATCTGAATCACATTCTTACACTGCCTGCATTAAAAATAAATACTATAAATGTGAATATTTGACACTACAAACAAGGACATGATTTATTATCAACTCCTGCCTATAAAAGGACCTCTTTCTTTCATATGTAGAGTAGAGCAACAAGTTGTGCTGTTAAGTAGAGTTTCAGCTCCACTGAGGTGTGTTTTGTAAAGGGCAAAGGTCGTGCTGTAAAACTGTCAGGGTTGTGAGCCACCAGCAATAAAGAGCCTGCGACCTGAGAACTCCCACATGCAGCAGTACAGCAGAGTTAATGTGGGTGAGGCTCCACTGAGCTGTCTGCAAATTTACTCTATTGTCAAAATATACCTGCACAGTATCTAAACATTTTCAATGACACTAAAGCCAACACAGGCAGGGCTACTCTGAAGCATGAGCGGTAACTCGTGTTTGAGGTCCTTTGAACCTTAACATGATTGACATCTGAAAAAAAGTAGGAACTTAAGATTGTTTTACCGAAATTTCCAAATGCAGTCTTCCTGGGAAATGATACAACTACTGCAAACTGTATTTCTGTATGCACTACTGCTTCTAAAGTTATGATTGAATGCAACGTGCAAATGTGGAGCCATTTATCTGCAGTGCAGGTGAAATGCTCTTCCATCTGGGTCCACCTCAGGGTGTTAGTAAACTGCAGAATTATCCCACAAAATCCAGCCAGTCTGCGGCTGCACACAGTTTATTGTCCACAAGTGGAAAAAAAAAAAAATCAGATGGAAGTTTTTTCCAAGCCCAACAATGTGCCAGGGAGATGACTAAGTTTTCCCTTCAAACCTGAATCAATCATAGCAACACTGCTGCAGTAGTGTTTGAATTAGGACGGGTATGGCATTCAGCTGTTTATCAGCACTAACATAGTGTCAGTGACAATGATCGTTTTAGAGTTATAGTTTCTCACAGGGAGTTATTCTGACAAATCCCAACCATAAATGCATGCTTAAGTTCTCCACAGTCGTTTGTAGACTGCTATTAGTCACACAGCTTCACTAATTATATGAACAGCAGCATAACTACACTCGTGGGACTGCTAGGGTGGGAAATGGGACTCCCTGGATTATGGGAAAGCTGCTAATAATTCCGGGACACTCGTGTTCTTTAACTGTACATGTCACAAAGTCTTTTAAAAGTGTGGAGCACGAAGAGCTCAAAGTTAGGCGAAAGTTACATCATCGTGCAGACAGAGCGCACTGAACTTATCCAATATGCAACAGGCAGGAGTGAGGGGGGCGGAGGTGGGAGAGGCAGGACTCACCAGATGAAGTCCGTGCAGTGGCTGCAGAAAGTCGGCTGCCTGAAGAAGCGGGCTATGAATTTGTGGTTCTTCACCTCGTGGACGTTTTTTTGCCTCAAAGCACCTTTGCGAGCAAACCTGTTCGCTACGTCCCCGGTGGACGACTCGTTAGAAGTCACATCAGCCATGTCCCCCCAGAAAACAACAAGAGCTGGAGCTCAGTGCCGCTGTCAGGAAGTGGTCTCAGTCCGTGTTCAGGCACAACCCTCAGCGTGGAGCCAGCAGAGCGAAGCGTCAGCAGAGTCACTGTACTTACTGAGGGAGGGCTTTCCCTGCCTGCTGATACTACTGGGCTGCTCCACTGACAGCTCCGAGGAACGTCAAGATAGAAATGATGGAAACATACTACATCCGGTTTGACTTTCAAAACAAAAGACTTTTGCAGAGAAGCAATTGAAAAGGGTTTTTTTTATCCCAAAACATTCTACCCAAACTCCTATTGATTAAATTAACTTTAATTTTTTAAAAAGTAGATAATTTTGAATTATTATCGGAATTATCATCATTTGTCCTTTCACACCGGGACCGTTTTTGTCGTGCGATTATTTCGGACATCAATTTTTTTTTCCGAACCCGTATCCTGTCAATACAAGCTTTTACATCAGTGACATTTTCCCGTCCTGCGATATTGCGGCATTTATTTTTTCGGATCAAGGTCAATTTTTCTAAAGATTTGCATACTGTGTGTCCACCTCTGACCAATCAGATAGCGTGTTGTTGCGACATCTGATTCACCGGTATATCCAACATGGCCGACCAGCTGATTTTTTACGTCTGAGAAAAAAGTGCTTTACAAAGATAACGACCTGAAGGACAACATAGCGTCAGATCTATCATATGACAATGTTTTGTGTGCTTTAACGGTTTGCTAAACGCTTTTGTTTTAACTTTCACCTGTGCTAACATAAGCTAACACTTGTTACCGTAGTTTCATGTGCTTATCTTATCACCTCTGATTGGCTGGCGGAGGCGGGATTTATGACCTATACTGCAGCCGATCAACAGAGGGTGCTGTTCTCAGAGTGGCTTCACCCGGAAAAGAGGCAGACGCTGTCCATTCTCTCTACAGTCTATGATACAAACCTAATAGACTTGGAATATTATGTTTATAAGTATGTTTCAATTCTTATGTAATCACTGGAATATAAAGATGGTTTTGTGTTTGCTAATTTAGAATGAAGCTTTCACACCTACATGTGAGTGGGTCCCTTACCACAAGGCCGCTGTCTCTACAGTAGCAGATAATGGACAAAACAGAGACATAAATGTTTTGGGATTTCATTAGTGGACATGCAAAATGCACAGGTTGAAAAATGGGCAAGAATATGATGATAGTAGTTATTATTATGTGCAGAACAGTTTGTACTGATAGACATTTTCAATGGTAGAAACATAACAAATGTAGGGTCATACTAATCAGGCATCACAGGAGCTTCTTGTCCTTGAAGGCCACAAAAATGAATCACTCTTCTCTGTTATGTAGGCTATAAAGGAATGATCACTTTCTCTGACAAAATACACAAAACACTTTTGAGAATCATGCCGTGTATCTCTTTAAAATCAATTACAAAGAAGATAAAACAACAGAGTTTGGATGTAATGATAATTCACCAAAAAAGGACTGAAGCTTTAGAACTAATACAGACTGAAGAGCCCCTTTCAGCCCTGCGTTTGTGCAGCCATTAAAGGGTCTCAATAACAAAAGATGAAAGTGATGCTCCGAATCTTTTAGATAATCAAAATAAACAATAAGACCTTTGAGCATATGCATGAACACACACAACAACTTAAAATTAATTTCAAGTTATGACCATTTTTCATAGCTCAAATGAACCACACTTTTACCTTTAACGCCTATTTTACAGCCTAGTGTGTGCTCTTTAATGTTAATAAGTCCTGCAATTGTTTTGAAGTATTTTCTTATTTTATTCCCAAAATCCTCTTCCTGTTTCTGTCCGAATATTTTTGTGTAACTTGACGCTGCTCAGCTCCACTTCGTCGTTTTCACTCCCGCTGATGTCACGCAGTCAGACCGCCGCGGGAGAGAGGGAGGAGGCCCCGGTCCCGCGCCAGGAAATTAGGAAAGGGGCGTCATCATGTGGAATAAAGGCGTATTACACATTTTGAGCTGCTGTGTGGAAAATATGGGAAGATGGAAAGGGACTACCTGATGAAAAGAAATGGATTTAAAACTGTTTATAGGATACTACATTTTAGAATAAGTGGTAGAGATAAAATGGGATCTGATGACTATTATTTACATCTCAAATGCTGAGGATGCCTTTCAAAACCTCTCGTTCTCATATACAGAACAGTTTACCCAATACACTTTCATTTTTACATTTTTAATTTTAATCTTTTTTTCCCCATTTGCATTCTTTGAATGTGTTTGTCAAATTGTTTCAAAGATCTTCAGCCACAGCCATCAAGAACTCATAAAATGGACCTCTCTGTCTGTAATACAGCTCAGCACAGAGCCACTTTATCAATTCCTTCAAGTTCACTGACCAAAGACAAATATTTGCAAATGAAATCTGCTAAGGTAAACCAGATCTACTGTTCCCTGAAATCACATGACTCTGGACCCATCTTGTTTAAAACAGCCATCACTTAAGAGAAAAAAGCACAGCAGAGAGAGAAAGGGAGCTGTTAGCTGCCAGTTTCATGTGTACATTTCATTCAAACACTGTATTCTTGCTGTCTATTGATCCACTCTTTATGGGGCCACTATGTAACTCGTAGCAAATCGTTTGACCTACTTTGGAGTTACATCATTCCAGTGGCAATAGATCTGCTCATCACTGAGTCCTAGTTTTATAGAATAAAATTGACTGCTACCCATTCTATGCATACAATACATGTGATTGCAAGCCGTAGAGTCCTCTGTGGGGGCTTTCACTGCAATGAACACACAGCAAACCTTTTTTTTTTTTTTTTGGGGCTTAGCCTCCAAAAGCAAACAGAAACTAAGCATTACTTGAAAAGTTGAGAAGTAGTACTTGTATGTGTGTGTTTGCAAAATCTCTGTGTACTGTCTCCCTTTCATTATTCATGAGTTCATATCATGCATGCTCCTCCAAAAGTATGTTTGGCCACTGCTTTATAAATATGCAGGAGTTTAGACATTTGTGCACAATCAATAGAAGCTTTTGCTTGCATCTGATAGGGTTGATAGGATCAGCGGCCCTTGTTTTGGCCCAATCTCCAACTAGACAGAGGTGCAGTAACTAAGACCTCATTACTATCATGATGATGGCTCTGACGTTTGCTTTGCTGCTTCCTCGCCACCTGGTGTTTTAAGGCAATGAGGGTAGAAAATATCTGTTGATGTATTCGTGCACAGAACTGATTCTTTTGTGGTGAAATTTGCAAACACTCGCTTTAATGTTGCTGCTTCAAATATGGAACATGCACACAAGTCTTGTGTGTGCATGAAATCATCTTATTATCATGATATGTTCTTGTTAATTTAATCTTGTCCTGATTTTGTTAATTAGTTCTCTTTTCCCTAGTGTTTCTGTCTCCTGTGATCCTGTTTTGTGAGTTTTCAGTCTGTCTTTGAGCCTCTTTCTCTCGTGTTCTCAGTGTTTTATTCTTTACATCAGTTTTCTGTGTTTTCTGTTTTATTTTGTCGTTCCTTGCCCTTGTGTGTCTGGTTTAGTTTATCTTCCTGTTTTATTTTGTAGTAATGAGCCCTGTGTGTCTAGTCTAGTTTTACTTCCAGTGTTTTCCCTCCTTAGTGATTGTCTGCACTTGTGGCCTTGTGTCTCACCTGTCCCTTGTTACTCATAACTCTGGCTGTGTCCGAAATGGATCCCTAACCCTTATATGGGCGACTATATGGGGGTTAACGCCATTTTGAGGGGTGTCCGGAACCTGAGTGATCAATTCCAATGCCCCATATAGGCGACTTAAAATTTCCCATAGAGCACTGCAACATGTAGTGACCATCCGATGGTCACTCATCATGCATTGGGTCTTGCCATGTAGTGTCCGAAACCTCCAGTAATTGAGCTCACTACATAGTCAGCTATATAATGAAACCCCATATGGTGGTTAGGGGTTAGGGGTTGAGTGGTTCATTTCTGACACAGTCATAGTCTATCTAGTCTCTATGTAGCATTCCTTCGTTGTTGGTTCATTGTCCCTGTTAGTGTCAACAAGCAGTTTGCTAAAGACCAGCAAATTAAGGACATGAATTACTGAAACTATGAATTTTTAGCAATGAAAATCAGACAAATTTAGCATCTAAGTAAGTGAATATTTAGCAGTAAATGACTGTAAAAGATTACTGTGAAAGTCATGCAAAATTCCGCCAGTAATTTACTGTGATTTTATGCTCAAAAATGTAACTTCGCAGTAGCGGGAATAACATCTTTCCCCCTCAACTTTTACTTTTAAGTACTACTTAGCAGCTGTTTTGACATTGCACATCTACATCACAACAGTGGTAATTGAGCAGAATTTAAGGAATTTGAAGGATGTCAGTGTCGTGTTAGCTTCAGTTCAACTTCATATCGACTCTGGCACAACATGGCCTAACCAAATGACACATTGAAAAGTTAATGAAGTGAAATTGAACAATAACCTTTCCACTAACTTCTTGCCGTCGTCTTCTATGCCTAGATTGTAAAACACAGGTGCATCATCATTATTGGTCCCCTGGCAGCTCACTAACATTGTGGCTTTTTTTTCTTTCCTTCTTTTATTTTCACAGTAACTAACTTTTTTTTCCATTGCCACTTTTTTTTTTTTGTGTCGTTAATTCAGTTGTGGCTTTTTTAACTCCACCATTTTATTTTTTTTAATTTGCAGCGGGCTTCGGTTTCTTTTTCGACTTCTTTTTTTTTGCATTCTGTTTTAATTTGCAGCAGTGGCGGTTCTCGGCCACCATAGAGAACCGTAAATAAAACAATATATTAGCAAAACAGTTTAAGTCCAGTAGTTGGCACGCTTGTAAAACTAATTTGTTTGCAAGTTTTAAGTTTTACTTTTTAGATGACTTTTTTTTTTCTTCAGAGTTTCATTCTCACTCAAATTCTTATTTTTGTTTGATATTGAAGAAGTTTTGTTTAATTATTTTGATGCATATCTGCTATCAGTTTGTGTCAGAATCGCAAACAAAACTCAGGGAGCGCAAACGAGAGAGCTGGCAGCATAACTGCAGAAGTGACGGTGAGGGAAAGTCTGAGCAACGAGAAAGAAACAGAGGATGCTGTAAACAAAAGGATATTTGACAAAAAGTAAAAGACCAGTAGTTTACACAATTACACAAAATTTGTTTGCAAGTTACAAGTTTTAGTTTTCAGATGCCTTTCTTTTTTTTTTTTTGCTTCAGTGAGTTTTATTCTCTTTTAATTTTTTATTTTTGTTTGATATTGAAGTTTTGTTTGATTATTTTTGACACAAATCTGATTCCATATCTCTCTGTGATCCCTGAGGTTTATATGAGGTGAATAAATGTTGATGCTTTTAGTAAAATGTTGGTGTAGTTGATCTTGAGGACAGCTGCAGCTTTAATAACTTCTGCTTCTTGGAGTTTGAGCGTCTAAAGTTCACATCGCCGCTCCTCCTCCTCCTGGATTATACAAGAGCTGGATTTCCCCTCCCTCCTCTCTCACACAGCACACTCACTTCCTTGTTCTCTTCACTTCTTTGTTCCCTCCCCTTCAGATCTACAGTCTGAGGAAGGGTGTAACCAGCATGTTCTGAGCTGATCCTGCTGACTCACATGTTGTTGAGATCAGAGCTCAGACTAGTTTCACTTCTGAGGAAATGAAACTCAGTCAGTCAGTCGTCGACAGTGAGTGTTGAAATGGCGCAGAAAGGAGTTCAGCTGGACCGGGAATCTTTCTCTTGTTCCATCTGTTTGGATCTACTGAAGGATCCAGTGACTGTTTCCTGTGGACACAGCTTCTGCATGGGCTGTATTCAAACCTACTGGGATAAAGAGGATGAGAAGAAGATCTACAGCTGTCCTCAGTGCAGACAGACCTTCACACCGAGGCCTGTCCTGATGAAAAACACCATGTTAGCAGTTTTAGTGGAGGAACTGAAGAAGAGCGGACTCCAAGCTGCTCCTGGTGATCCCTCTGATGCTGGACCTGAAGATGTAGTCTGTGATTTCTGCAGTGGGAGAAAACTGAAAGCTGTCAAGTCCTGTCTGCAATGTCTGGTTTCTTACTGCCAGATTCACCTCCAGCCTCATTTTGAATCACCTTCATTTAAGAAACACAAGCTGGTGGAGCCCTCCAAGAAGCTTCAGGAGAACATCTGCTCTCGTCATGATGAGGTGATGAAGCTGTTCTGCCGCACTGATCAGCAATCTATCTGTCATCTCTGCCCTGTGGACCAACACAAAGGCCACGACACAGTCTCAGCTGCAGCAGAAAGGTCTGAGTGGCAGAAAGATCTGGAGGAGAGTCGAGAAAACATCCAGCAGAGAATCCAGGACAGAGAGGAAGATGTGAAGCTGCTCCAACAGGAGGTGGAGGCTATCAACGGCTCCGCTGATAAAGCAGTGAAGCACAGCCAGGAGATCTTCAGCCAGCTGATCCGTGTCCTGGAGAAACGCCGCTCTGACGTGGAGCAGCAGGTCAGATCCCAGCAGGAACGTGAAGTGAGTCGAGTCAAAGAGCTTCAGGAGAAGCTGGAGCAGGAGATCACTGAGCTGAAGAGGAAAGACGCAGATCTGCTGAAGCTCTCACTCACAGAGGACCACAACCAGTTTCTGCACAGCTACCCCTCACTGTCAGGACCGGGTCAACCTGCAGACTCATCCAGGATCAACATCCGTCCTCTGAGATACTTTGAGGAGGTGACAGCAGCTGTGTCAGAGCTCAGAGATAAACTCCAGGATCTTCTGACAGAGACGTGGACAAACGTCTCACAGGCAGTGACTGACGTGGATGTTTTACTGTCAGAACCAGAACCAGAACCCAAGACCAGAGCTGGTTTCTTAAGATATTCACAGAGAATCACACTGGATCCAAACACAGCACACAGAGAGCTGTTATTATCTGATGGAAACAGAAGAGCAACAGGGACAGGACAACCACAGTCTTATCCTAAACACCCAGACAGATTCACTGATTATCGTCAGGTCCTGAGTAGAGAGAGTCTGACAGGACGTTGTTACTGGGAGGTGGAGCTTAGAGGGAAAGACGTTGATGTAGCAGTCGCATACAAGTCTATCAGCAGAGCAGGAAACTCAGAGGATTGTTTATTTGGATTCAGTGACAAATCTTGGAGGTTAGAGCGTTATAAAGACAGATATAAATTTAGACACAACAAAGTCCACACTCGTGTCTCAGGTCCTCTGTCCCCCAGAGTAGGAGTGTACCTGGATCACAGAGCAGGTATTCTGTCCTTCTACAGTGTCTCTGAAACCATGACTCTCCTCCACAGAGTCCAGACCACATTCACTGAACCACTACATGCTGGACTGTTTTTATTCTGGTGTAATGGAGACTCTGCTGAGTTCATAGAAGTGAAATAAACAGAACTTTGAGTCAATCAGACCAAAAAACATGTAATGAGATCATTGAACCCTTGAAATGTTCTGGTTTGTAAATGTTTGTGGATCAGTCTCACCAAAGAGTGTCAGTTTAGTTCTAGATTTCAGCTTTTTCGTTCTTTTCTAAAGATGCTAATTTGGTCTCAGCTTTAAGGAAAGTGATTGTGGATAACTCATCTTTGGATTTCTCATTATTAAAAATCTTCACAAAAGTTTGAAAACAAACACATCAAGATGATCATTTGTTTAAATCACATTAAGTTGGTGCAGATTTTGTAGGTCTAAGACTTTAGAAAAAGTGACGTCAACATAATGAAAGAAAGATGAAAAAGCAAAACCTTATTTCCTGTCCCAAATCTGACCATCTAAAGTCTTCCAGTCTGCCCCCAAAACACTTCAAATGATCTTTGCTTTCTCTGTTTGCTGAATATTTGTATTCATGTCATCCATGGATATTTCTGTCTGCTTCTGTTGGATCAGTCTGTTTGTAAAGACATCTATAATGACACTTTTGACAGATCATGTTGTTATGAGCGTTTCAATCACTCTAAAAATTATCACATTCATTTGTCCAACTGTTGTTATGTTTCTGACTCAGCTGAGATTGTGGTGAAGTCTCTGATTGTGGATAAAAAAAAATAAAAGTCAACAAACTGTGTCACTGAAAGCACCAAGCCTGTTTTTCTTTTTGGTTTAGTCCGCCCGACAGCGACCAGTGACAAGTGTAATGTCAGTGAGCCCAGACTAAATGACCTGGAGGTTAGACTTCATACTGGCCAAAAATCATAAATCGGAGTATCAAAAGAAGAAGGAGAGGAAAGAAAAACAAAGAAGGCAGAATAAGGGGAGGGAGCTGTTGACTGCTTTCTTTCCCAAAGGCCAACCCAGTTTGCTTTTTATGCAAAGTCTAATTAAAGTTAACGTGGTCCACTCCAGATGTTTGCATGCTCACATTGAGTCTTTAGCTTAGCTAGTTGCCAACCCTGCTGCTTGCGGCTAAAAGTATGAAGACAATTATGGGCCAGCCAACGTTAGTTGTCAACATTAACCAGTTTCAGAAACAAACAGTGGCGCTGGTGCAACTACAGCAACAGCAGCAGTGCGAGGGAGAGAAGGAGAGAGCTTCTGGACATGTGTGTTAGTTCACCCACGGAGAGGGAGAGAGTTTGTAACATTAGGAAAGGCCATTGCTAAATTCTGTGGGCATTAGTATGTGTACTGTAAATGCTGTATGTCATTGGCACTTAATCACAGGCGGATATGAAGAGCGACCAACTGATTTTGTTTGTATTCATAGTGAATGATGACTAGTTCAGTGTGGAGATGGGAATTGCAATACCTTTTCTGACTGGAGCTGTGCAGTCATGGCTGATCACCATTAGTTTAGCCTGAATGAGAGGCAGGAGGAAAACAAATATCAAATTACTTTAAGTAAATCATGATAAAAACCATTTCAACTGTAAAATGACACGAATCTTACATTTATTTAAAGCAATGAACTTGTGACATGCATAATTTTGTAAGGCTCTGGTTATAGTCAAAGACACAGAGTGAAAATTAACCATGAGCCTTTTCTACGTTCAAATTAGTTACAGCAATAAAATGAAGTTTCCCGCAAAAAGTAACAACAGGGTATGCTTCATTATGAGAATTTAGTGCATTTGCTGTAATGACCAATAGGTACAACTAACTTGTTTATAATAAGCGTACATGACAAGTTACCAAAAATAAAGTTAATTCAACACAGTTTTTCCAAGTAAAGTTGATGTTTGTTTTTACAGTGTATATGATCATCGAAATAAGCAAGATTCATGAGTAACACCCACAAACTGTAAACTTTGGGGAACAGGTTCACAATTCCTAATGTATGATGTACAACAAGAGGTTCACATGAACACTGATCCACATTTTACTCAGTTCACTGATTCTTCCCAATCATAACCATTTAAAAATCACCATTTTGCTTTACATGTGCACAAACTTTCAAATTCGAAGACCTCTGCCCATGAAACAGGTCAGTCAGTAAAGTACTCAAAGTTCAGGGATTTGTTAAAAAAAAACACAATAAATGTAGTTTATTAATAGTTATCATTATTATTATTATTATTAATAATAATAATTGTAGTTAAATACAGTATAGTTATTAAGTAGTATTCTACTGCATGGAATGGTACACTATATTTTAGCAAAGTAAAGTAGAATAAAGTTAGTATAAAATCCTATTTTATGGTTAAGTACAGGTTAGAATAGTTTTTTGTACTATAGTTTAAAATACTAAAGTATGTCACAGTAGGGTGATGTAAAATTGAGTAAGGTTTAGTATAGTAAAATACGGTGAAGTATAGAAAAGTAAAGTATCGTGTTTCATCTCCATCTTTCTCCTGTAGGTATGAGACAGAGATGAACATGTGTAACCTGGTGGGGGCAGGTGTGGCATGTCTCTGGGGGGGTCCGGGACAGCATGAGACTTTCTATCCCTGACTTAGAGGTCTCAAAGAGGAGCTGACCTTTATGAAGAGAAACTATGAAAAGGTGAGAGCCAATCAGAGCCACAGAAAGCTCTCTGTGCAGGGTTTAAAGGTGTCACAGCAGGGAAGCTGGTCTCTGCACAAACATAATGGCGCCCTCTGCTGGTATCAGCTGGTACAGCAACCAACTATTGTACAGTGAACCTATTAACAAAAGTATTTCTCATGTCTGTATTGCAGGAGATGTGCCAGCTGAGGATCCAGCAGACAGGTGAATGTGTAGGTAGATAGTGCAGCCTCTGTTAATCTGACCAAGGTCTTGGAGGAGATGAGAGAGCAGTATGAAGCCATGGCAATAAAGGACAAGCAGGAGCTTGAAAAATGGTTCCGAGCAACGGTGAGGCATGAGAAAAAAAATAACTTACAGCAGTATTTTCAGACTAAAATGATTTGTTTTAAGCTGTGAGAGTGGATTTATTTTGTATTTGTGTGTGTAAAAAGATGGAAGCTCTCCAGACTGAAATCTCCTCCTGCTCCAAAGAGGTAAAGACGTATAGTTCAGAGCTGAAGAAGACCTACCAGAGTTTGGAGATCAGTCCTCAGAACATCATCACAGATGTACATCACATATTATGTAATACTCTGTGATATCATATACTGTATGCCACTCATGCATGTACAGGACAAGATAAGCAAAGACAGAAAAGGTACTGTTTGTCCACCAGGGTCACTGAAGTTCAACACAGAAGCAAAATGTCCCCACAGTAAGGGTGTATCTAATTACATTGAGTGAACGACTAGGTCTTTGAGGATAAAGGAAATTAATGCTGTAGGATACATAACTAAATTTCCCATCAGGTAGAAAGAGCACCTGTTTTCGGTAATCACTCACAGCTGTCTGTCTGCGCTGCTGCAGCAGAACCTGGAGGAGGTTAAAAGTCTGTACAGCGTTCAGCTCAGCCAGCTGCAGGCGAGCATCAACATGCTGGAGACTGAGCTGCAGCGGCTTAGAGTCTCCCTGGAGCAGCTGCACGACGGGGACAACCGGCTGCTGCTGGACATTAAGATGAGGCTGGAGCTGGAGATTTCAGAGGACAGAAGGCTGCTGGAGAGAGAGAGCTGCATGAGAGAAAGCAATATGAAGAAAAAGAAATAAGAGATTTTACATCTTACACCTTCTATGACTTCCTTCTATAACCCAGAAGAATAACAGTTCAATGATTGACAAATTTTCTTCTCATAGGGTGTTGGTTATCAGCAAAGTTGAGGAAAAGTTGAAGTCCTGATCATTCACTGAATTATGTCTCTTAACCTCAGACACATCATTTATCTTTGTTTGTTTTCTTCATCTGCAGAGCACAAACCCCATGTTTAAAGGAGGGTGAAGACCATCATGGAGGAGATCATTAAGTGGGTGGTAACTGAACACACACCCTCAGATAATTTGGCCCTGAAATGCCCGCACTCATCACCTTTAATCCTGCCTGATGAATAGTTTTCTGTAGTCAGCTGTTTGTAGTTCTGAACAAATTAAAACATCACCTTTCTTTTTTTGATTAAGAGGGTTTTCAGGGACTTTTATCTTTTTTCTTTTGACGCCAGTGATTTAAAGTGATTCCTACAGGAGATTGTATTTGTTGATGGATGCTCCTTTAAATCAGAACAGGTCCATTATAAGGTTAAAAGCCAGTGAGTAAAGATAAAGATCCCGTTTAAAAAGAGAAGTGTGTCATGTGACCACATCCAGACTCTCTGGAAGGGGGTTCATTCTGTAATCCAGGAGGCCACTGGTAAACAGTTTCCATTGACTCCTTCTTTCTGTCCAACTAACCATGTCCCAGACGATTTCATGGACACAGACACCATTGTTTTTTTAATAATGTATGTTTATAAAAGTAAAAAAACAAATAAAAAGAGTATAAAAAGAGAGAGAGAAGTGTAATAAATAAAACAAAGTCAGCTTCAAGTGTAAAAATAAGGTTATTGCCAATAATTAAAGATTAATTAAAGAACAATGTAAAGCTTATTTACAACATTCATGCAGAGATTTGGCGTAATTGCAAAACGACAGTCACTGCAGGTGTTAATGGCAAAATTAAAGGACATTTACACCAAAAACAAGAACTTCAATGGTTTTTTCATTTTGTTTTCACTCATTGTTTGGTCTCCTCTGTACTTTCTTTGTCATTTATTTTGACAGACAAATCGTCAAAACTCAGCAAATAAGTCAAAATACAGCATTTAATTTAAAGTTGATGCTATGCACTGTTCAGGGTGTAATTCCAGTAAGAATTCACCAGGTGTCACTCTTGTCTCAATCTCAGAGTGAAGTGTCTGTGGAGGGTACAGCTGTGTTTTATGTAATTGAAGCACACACAGAAATTACTGGATCGTGTAGTTTCTCGATATTAAACAATGGAAAAAGCATAAAATCAGCGCATAGGATGATGCTTCACTGCTACCCAACTACTTGTTTAGCCTTCTGAATCTGGGCTTTCACATAAAGGTACAAAAAGACAGAGATTTGGTCTGATGAGATCACCCCTGTATCATCAGAGCTGTCTCATCTAGGTGGAGTTGAATCAAGCAGAGACTTGAGAGCTTATATTGTCAAAATGTCAATGATTCACCTGCTCAATGAATGAATCCATCACTCTCAAAGACTCCCCTGCTTTCACTGCTTTGTGCTGAAGTGTATTAACATGCTGCTTTCCTGCACTGCTGTAATTAAGTACAATTAGTTTCAATAGGATCTAATGAGTGTCAGCACTTCTGAGTGGTACACTATTATCATGTTTAGGCAAATAGGATATTACTCATTTGTGGCGCTGTCTAGGCCATGAAAAGATCATTCAGCTTGTCCAGACGGGACAATTCAACAAAAGACTAAGTATCACGTGACATTATCTCACTTTCTCTGCTTCTACCGATCGTAGCTAAGAGAGACAGACAGAGAGGCCTTTTTCAAAGTGAAATCTTTATATTTGATTTGCCCCTCTGTTGCTGAAGGTCACGCAAAAGTTCAAAGAAAAAATTAAGCATACATGGCAAGAGGATTCCTTGCACCTGTGTTTTCTGTAACTTTCTCTGTAGATAGACAATTGGTATGGATGAAGATTATGTGCATTACATGAGGAAATGTTGGTTTCTATTCAGCTGACCACAGTTATGTTTGCTACTAACTGTATGCTCTGCAGTATGCATCCAAACTCGAGCAACTTATTCTTGAGTTTGGATGATTATGTGCACATGGGCTTCTAACTATTAATTTAATCCACTGAATTAAAGACACAATGAAGCCTTTGATTGATCAATTATGTAGTTTAATGAAAATTAAATTGTGCTCAGCTTTGACTGCAGTATTCTCTGTTGTAAATTTCCAGCTCCTTTAGTTGCATCAGAGATGTTTTAAGGACTCTCTCCTTGCTGTAATGGGTGTGGCCCACACCTGTGGAGCATACCTGCATAGCAGGAGGCAACAGAAACCAGTCTGGGCATGAAGTGGCATAAATAAGGGCACAAAGGTAGAGGAGCATTGTAAAAGACATACCTGCTGCTACAATGAGTCATGGCTGTCCTCCCTTCCTCTCCTACAAGAGGTAGAAAAAGAGATATTGTTTAATGTTGGCTCACGCTGGAGAGTTACACACCCAGGTAAAATCTCTCGGGGCTTTTTTTCATGCCACAGCACATTTTGAACATACTGTTCCTGTTTTTTCCACAAGCTGAGGTTATTCATGTCACCAAGGCACTTAGTATGCACGCTAGAATTGGCTTCTTGCATTCTGGGGACTTAACATGAAAATTGGATGGGGTATGTGACACAGTAAATGTGTCAAAAAGACTTATTGATATAGTGTTTGGCAGAGGTCCTGCAAGTTCAACTGCAAGTGCAGCTCACGCACATGCTGTGTGCAGAGCATGGCAGGTTGTCATTCACTCAATACAGTGCACAAATCATGTATACTCTGCTCTAAGGGTCAACTACAATTTAATCTTCCAGTGAAAAGCTGAAAAATTCTTTAAGCAAGTGGAAAATGTACAGATATGTTAGAGATCTTTCATACTTATCTTACTCTGCTCCACACATGAAACCACTGACACACCCAGCACTACCGCCACACATACCACCACCATTCATCACTCAGCTCGCAGAAACCACAAATGTGTCCTTATTATGGGAGCAGGAGGGTGTGCGTAGAGTTGTAAGACACTGTATTAACAATAAGTAACTAATTTTGTCTGAGTGTTATGGATTTATAACCATGAAGGCTGATAACATCGAAGAAGCTCTAATACATGGAGGTGTAGCCTGCAGGAATGATAAGCACAGAGTAAAAACAAGTTCAGTCTCTGGAAGTTAAGTTTTACTGAACAAATCCATAACAACTTATTTAAATTAAAAGGAAAATGATAGCTGAAGCGAGGCAACCTCTGTTTTCAGCTTAAAAAATCTGAAACAAAGACGACCTGAAAACAGATACTTTAACAATGACACGACACATATAAACATTATTAACTTTATTTCTAGGATTGCAAACTCTTCGAGCTGCAATTTGGAAAAAGCAGGGAGAAAGAGCTCAAGTCAAAAAAGACGGACACACCCTTTTCACTACAGTTTGAAGAATTTTTTTGGTCAAGCATGAACTTGATGCTAAATGAGGTTGTCCCACGGGCAATTTACAGCCTAGAGTATCATGTATCAGATTCGGCTATCAGACTACCAGGAATTATGTTTCCCTGCAGGACCCTGAACTCTTCAAAAGCATGAAAAAACGTCTGTTAAAACATCTGAATTTAAAAAGGTTGATCATTTCTATATTGCAGGCAGCATGAACTGGTTAAATTTCCCACTAGCGTTAAAGTTTAGTCATCAACAGACTTCAGCTAAAACTAATGTACTGTTAGACACATTTAGAATCATAAATGCAGCATAAAAAGGTCTAAAGATGAGCTCATGAGGCTGTAAACCACTAACATCAATCTCAAGGTCAAGTCAAACAAAAAAGTCATTCGATGTTTTGTGTAAAAATGCATCAAATTTGACTAAATATCACATCTATCAGTTTTTCATTTTGGTGGAGCCTTGGAAGAGTGTCAGAGCCAGAGATGAGACAGAGAATGTCGAGAAATAAAGGAGAGTGTTATTTTTGAGGGAAAAAAGAAAGAGGAGGCAAAGTAAGATAGACAGTTTGTGCCACGTTCCCCACCCTCAGCTGATGTGATTCACAGCACCAGGTAAAGTTATTATGTGGTAGCTAAATCTTGGTTAGTGCCTCAGTTTACAAAATGCACTAAATTTAATGATAGATGTAAGACAACTTTAAAGGGAGATGAACTAAAGGCAACTTTTGATTAACCTGTTTGTGAACAACTGGCTTTTGCCCCGACAGTATTAATCCAGCGTCCCATTGCATGTTGGGTAACAGACATGTTGTTTGTTGTTCTCCATGCTTACCATGTGTTTGAAGATATATGTCCTTTTTATTCATGAGTTAACCAACACAACAAGCAGGGAGGAATCATGTGAAGGCGCAATTTAGCCTGCTGACAATAATATAAAAGTGTAATGTCTCCACTCTGAACGACAGTTAACCTCGTTCTTTAAACAGTTCATCTATGACATGTTTTGTTTGCTGATGTGGGCGACTGATACTGTTGCTGCTGTGCTCTTGTCTGTCTTGCATGTGTGATGTGCATCACCTGGTGTGACCACTCAGTGTGCCCGTTCTTCTTTGATTTACAAACTGCAGACCATCAGAGAGTCCATGACTATGGGGACAGTTCAAGTAAATGAAATGAAAAATAAAAAATACAAAAAAAATTTATTTATTTTTTTAACTTAAAAAAATCCACTTTATTCTTAATGTTTTCATTTTATCTAAAAACAGATAAATCTTCCCTCTACACCTTTTTTTCCCTCTTCCCTGGCTTCAGTAGCAGCTCATCTGTAAGTCTCTGTTGTGATGAAGCTAAAAGTTTTTTCTCCGGGCTGATCTTGTCATGGAAGTGTGTAAGTACTTTTGTTTTTCAAACAAAAACCCCATCCTGCTGTCATTTAACTGTCAAAAGTACCACCCACAGTGACTCTTGGACCCAGAAAATGAGAAAAAAAAACGTCAACATGCTCTCAATCACTTCTTGAAACTTCCACCCTACAGCAATGAGTGAAACTTTACTGCTTTAGTCAGTCTTTAAGTTAAAAGGTCTGGTTTTCTTTTGCAGAGGCACCATTGTAAATTACAGACTGTTGAATAACCAGTTAAAAGCTCTTCACATCACATCACTAACACACTCAACATCAAACTTTCATACTACCCCGTACGAGCAGACTTCAAACTTGTGCTTGAACGCTGAATGTTTCACACTGTATCGTTGAATTTTATATGAATGAGTGCCAATACCAACCTAGTTAATCAGCGTGTTTGGCACTGTAGCTTTAATTCATTTTCATTCATACAGTTTGCATCTCAACCTCATTTTCACCTGAAGTAACACTATGTAGCTTTATGTTCCTGGCAGTTTGACAGTATGTGATAATTGGGGTGATGCGGCTGCTGCCAGCTGCCTCAGGAAAAATAGTTCAGTGAGGCTGTACATCATTTTTGACAACAGCCAATTACTGTGTCTTGTTAAATGTGTGATAAGCATTCAAAGTTTTAACTTTTTCATTATTAAAAAGTGATTCAGTGATTTGTAATTCGTATTTGATTGAACAAGAAGTTAATAAATGGCCCATTGTCAGAGGCTAGAGCAGTCACAGTGAGTTCTGTGCACATCATGTCAGTGAGACAGGTTTCTTCGAGTGCTGTGTGTTTGAAATCTCCTTAAAAGGAACTAATCTCTGACAGCGTAGTGAACTTTACCAACCTTAAGAAAACTTTTGGATATGTGATCTTTAGCAACGCTCCACAGGTGCCACTCCCTTGTATCCAAACTGCAGAGATTCTTGTACTCACATCATCCCTTACTTTTGCTGCCGATGCAAAAATAGTCTTTGAATCTTTTTAAAACTAGAGCAGAAATAAGTGCTGTTAATGTTGTTTGGTCAAGAGCAGTTTGTTTTTGTATGGAGCGTGAAAACCTGATATTAAGTGCACCATCGTTGTGAAAATGCCTTCTCTAGAGTGACAGTAAAATCCTGACACATACATTGCTGCACTCTCAAGCAACCTCTGAATAACTTATGGAGGATTTGCACATGCATGTAATCATGGTACATCCTCAAAATGAAAAGCAGCAGTGAAAAGAAGCATCTGGTTTGCCTTACTTCAGGCTGCATATGCACATTTTTAGGCTTTTGTTAAAGGTAAAGCAACTCCTTGAATAATACATTCACTATTCTTTTAGCCTTTGGTAATCTGAAAACGGATCCAAATCTTCTAGGAAATGTTTAAATGTCTACATTTTAATTGAATAATGCATCTTCTTCTTGGTAGGAGACAGTTGTAAAAAAAAAAATCCTCTGGGAAGTAGTCAAAGATTTGAATGAATAGTGTGGTTTAAGTGGAGAGACGCAAACAAGCAAGAGCTTGTTCTTGTGTTGGCAAGGATGCACAAGCCAAAACACAATGCCAAGAAAAATAAAAGGCATGCAGCTACATCTGTGCTAAACTTTCCAGCAGTGCTGTGCCCAGCCTTGAACAAAGCCAAGAATCTACTGATTTCATAGTCCATAAAAAAACAGCTTCAAACTGGCAAACCTGGAGGGCACAGTTGAGCTAAACTGAAGATAATTTTTTAAATTTAGAATTAAGATGTGAAAAATGGTAACCAAAAATGACAAAGATATATCTCTGATAAAAAAAAATTGTTCATGCAAGACTATACAAACAGAAAAGACAAAGAGTGAAGAGAAATGTGCTGGCTGGGAGTCAAGTGAAAGACGTAGATCAGATTTACAGTGTACACAGTTGTTGTTGCCTTGGTAATGTAACAGGTTTTGCCAGCACAACGTGTTGATGTTTCACAAGATTTATGACACAATTTGATGGAGACTCATGACCTGTCAGAACACTGACAGAGTTGAAAACCTGCCAGATTTGACTGAATAACTAACCTTGGGCTTACAGTAACAGGCGTGGCTGTTTTTCATTGTACAGTATACTTTGCTGAAATAAAAGGTTAAGACTCAAGAGGGTGCCCTGCTGTCATGGATATTCATATGGAGAATAAAAGCAACAAAGAGGCTGAATTAAACAACAATGACATTGTGTTAATAACAAGGTCTGCAGTTTGGTGTGAAGTTGAAGAGAAGTCATTTAAAGTTTTTAAAGAATAAGATGGGACCAGGAAGAGTCATTTTTTGATTGCATGAAATAAGCCTAGGGAGTGTGTATATGTGAGCGTGTGAGTGTGTATGTGTGTTGGGTGGGGTAGAACATCCATCTTAGGTAATGCTCCTCCCCCCGGCCCCACACACACCCTCCCACCAGCAGCAGCCGTGCAGCATAAAAAGAGGGCAGAGGTAGAGCTCTGTATCTCAGTCCCTCTCGTTTTCTCCAAGGCAGGCCACCCTCCTGAGAAATCATCACCATGACTAGCAGAATGTCAGTTACGCGCTACAGCACCTCAGGAGGAGGTTTCGGTGGATCCATGGGTGGAGGAGGCTATGGCGGCATGGTGAAGCGCACATACGCCGGAAGTGTCTATGGTGGTGCAGGTGGCTCAGGGTCAAGAATCTCCATGGTCTCTGGTGGTGGTGCTGGTGGCTATGGTTTTGGTCTTGGCGGTGGCGGTGGCGGTGGCGGCAGCAGCAGTTACAGCTACTCTGTAGGTGGTGGAGGAGGCTTTGGTGGAGCTGATTCCCTGGACATCTCAACCAATGAGAAGGCCACCATGCAGAACTTGAACGATCGTCTGGCCAACTACCTGGAGAAGGTGCGCAGCCTTGAGAAGGCCAATGCAGAGCTGGAGCTGAAGATCCGCCAATTCTTGGAGAGCAAAACCTCACCCACTGCCCGTGACTACTCTGCATATGAGGCCACCATTGCTGACCTGCAGGGAAAGGTATGCCACATGACCTCTGATTCTTAAATGAAATACCATAATATCAGCATTTGAGCTCACAAAACAGCTATCAGAAGAAAATGTCCCTCATAATACTTTAAAACTGTAAAAACTTGTGTGCTTGGGTTTTCAATGTTGTTTATTTCATCACACAGATCCAGGATGCCACCCGTGTCAATGGAGGCATCTATCTAGCTATTGACAATGCAAAACTGGCAGCAGACGACTTCCGAACCAAGTGAGTCTCAGGGTGATATACAGAAGAGCCATCCACCAAAGAGAAAATAAGTTACTGTTTAACACCTGAGTTGAGTTTAAAGTAAAATATCTGCTCTCCTCTAAGGTTTGAGAATGAGCTTGCCATGCGCCAGTCAGTGGAAGCAGACATCGCCGGTCTGAAGAGAGTGCTGGATGAGCTGACACTGGCCAGATCAGATCTGGAGATGCAGATCGAAGGCCTCAAGGAGGAGCTGATCTTCCTCAGAAAGAACCACGAGGAGGTGAGTATTACATGTTTGGTAGATCTGTCTGGATTTGCTTTGAAGAAATCAGCAAACATCCTTATTTCACAAAACTGCTCTTAATTTACAGGAAATGGCAGCCATGAGGACCCAGATGACTGGACAGATCAACGTCGAGGTGGATGCAAAACCACAGCCAGACCTGAACGCTATTATTGCTGAGATCCGTGAGCAGTACGAGCATTCAGCTGCAAAGAGCGGGAAAGAACTTGAAGCCTGGTTCCACTCGAAGGTAAAACCAAAAGCTGGGCTGTGGTGACTTCTCATGCTGTACTTCAAATCATGTGGTTTTATTTCACACTAATGATATCTTTTTTTTCTACACCAGACGGAAGAGCTCACTAAGGAGGTGGCAGCCAGCACAGAAGGTATTCAAACATCCAAAACAGAAATAACTGAGCTCCGTCGAACACTCCAAGGCTTGGAGATCGAGCTGCAGTCACAGCTCAGCATGGTAATCTTCTTCTTCTTCGTCTTCTTCTTCTTCTTCTGCACTGTTACATGCACTACCTCCACCACAAAGAAAAACTTGGATGCACACCTTTGCATCCATTTTTTTTAGGAAACGGATTCTTTATCACTCTTCTTTTTAACTTTCTTTCCCCAGAAAGCGTCCCTGGAAGGCACATTAGCTGACACACAGGCCCGATATTCCATGCAGCTCTCAGGCCTCCAAATGCAGGTGACCAGCCTAGAAGAACAGCTATCTAACTTGCGCGTTGACATTGAACGCCAGAGCCAAGAATACAGTATGCTGCTCGATATCAAGACACGGCTGGAGATGGAGATTGCAGAGTACAGACGCCTGTTGGACGGAGAGGGAAGGTAATATATATTTGCAAAGAACACTTCTGTCTTTTCATCACCAAATTATGACTCTCTGTAAAACTGAAGCCCCTCACTAATTTTTCATGCACCCACTTTAATCTCCCCCACCCCACCCCACCCCACAGTATGGCTAGCGGGACCGGCAGCAGCGGTTCAAGGAGCACCAACACGAGGGTGGTTGTGGTCACAGAGGAGCTGAAGGATGGCAGAGTGGTGTCCTCCTCCACCACCTCCACTTAAGCTGCCTCGCACAGCAAAACTTGAAGCAACTTCTGAGAGCCTTAAGCACAACATCTGAACCTAAACGTTTTTTCACACACTTCTGTGAATGCAATAAAAGGCTGCAAGTTTGCTCCCTACAATTTTGTCCTGTCTATTGTTTGACTATTTGTTCATAATGATATTGTTTCACAAAAAGCCACTATCCTATGAGAGTTATTTGATTCAAGATCCAATTCTTTGACTGATAAGTGTATAATCCCTGCTTATCATTTAATTGCAACAGCTAAGTTATCAAAGCTTAAATACTTCTCTATTTTGACCACACAATGTCCTTGATATAAAGAAAGGAAACTAAGGCTCTGGTTAAACATTTTCTGAAAGTCATGAAGCAAGACTAGAAAATCTGGACAAAAATTAAAAAGCACTCTTGTCAACAGTTTACTCTGAGATATAAGGGACTTCCAGAAACCAGACTCAGCTTTCTTACTCTGCAAACTATATCTGCATTCAATACTTTCCAAAACATATTTAGGAGTGCTTCTTTATGCACAGAGTAAGAGTATGGCTCTAGGTTTAATTCTGCAGCTCTAGCTGTTCGTTTGCATATTTTAAAATAAGCATGAATTCAACTCTCTGGGCATCCAACTGGATAAGTTTACTTAGATTTGTTTACTTTAACCTAAAGCATGCTGGGACAGGACTTTTAAAACTATGTTGGTTTACTAAGAGGCAAAGAGTGTGAACATTTGAAGAGATTACTCACAGACATTTCCCATGACAGACTTACTTTGCTATGTACTACATAAACAATACCAATATCAATATCAAAGCCACAAGATGTGAAGAAAAGGCCTTGCACCTTTGTGCACATTTGGGTGTGTCGCAAGTGAAAGGAGTGGACTGGCTGTGATTGATGCTGTCGCTCTGATATGAAATATATGGAGTGGCAAATAGTACTGCCACTTACCTGTGGGTGAAGCCAAGCTTTCATGGGGTGGGGGGTCATTCATTAAAACAATTAGCTGTAGTTTCCAGTGGGTGGTGCTATCACCCTGACCTGTGCATATGAGTTAAGACTGGGACTGTCATCACACCTGTGATATTTGGAGCAAACGGGACGCTGTATGTAGAAGTTAAGACTATACATTACTACAGAGGGGCACTATTAGCATCATGCAAAATCTGCGTACAGGTAGATGTATTAACTCTGTATTAAGGGATGACCTTGATCATGTAATGTAGTTTCAAGCAGATTGGATAGTGTATCAAAGAGTTACACTGACGTCCTGATTTGTGGTGAGACATTGAACTGTAATGCACTGCCAGAGACACACCCTTAGATAAACATGCACAAGTCCAAACAACAATGCTCCATCAAGCTGTGAAGACGTTGCTGATCACATTTGAAGTGAATAGGCTGAATAGAGGGGATGTACATCATTCCCCTCTGGTAGTAGAGGGGCACTTTCTTAAACCTTCTATGCAGAAATAGTAAATGGTAGCCTATGTGGACTGTGTTTTATATAGTGCTTCCTTTAGTCTTCTGACCACTCAAAGTGCTTTTACTTAACATGTCACATTCACCCATTCACAACACATTCACACACTGTTGGCAGAGGCTGCTAGTTAGGGTGAACATGTTCTGAATCCCCAAAAAGATATCACAACTATGGAGGCAGAGTCGCGCATAGTAAATTTTGAAATTTTTCTGCTGTTTGGGGCAGGTGGGGTCAAGCTTCTTGCCCAAGGACAACTCGGCATGTGGACAGCCCTGGGATTCACCAACCTTCTGAGTGGGACACGACCGACTCTACTGAGCCACAGCTGCCTACAGAAGTGTTGAGTTAGGGATCTTTTAGGGAACCAACATTGTACATGAGAATTATAAGGATTTATAGTTTTTTCCCTATTGCCAAAATGACAGCAGATTTCAACCCTTTGTCAGGTCAGCACCCTCTGACGCGAAACCCTTGAATAACTTATACCGTCACTGTACACATATCCAATGAGGGGTGAAGTGGATACACCCAAACACAAGCTTTTTTCCAAATAAGCATCTCGTGTATCAAAACAAAATCAGTCATTCAACTGAAATTTATGAACCTCGTGTCAAGTCCTCCTCATAATGGTAATTTTTTGTAGGATGGTAGGGGGAAGGTCCCGCCTCCTTTGCCTCTGATTGGCCGTGAAACGTCATCACACGCTCAAACCGAGCGCGGGATGTCGGCTCTAAAAAATAATAAAATTACAGAACATTACCGCAATTCTGAATCTCCTAATCCCAATCCTAACCCTAACCCGACAGACGATGACGTTTCACAGCCATAAGGAATAACCAATAGGAGTCCATCAATTCTCGTTAATCAGAGGTGGAGGAGGGCGGGACCTTCCCCTTCCATCCTACGAAAAAATCCTGCGTACCGGGAGGACAAGAACAGCAGTTTACAGCCGGGACAGCGGTACACAAACTGTCACCCCTGTAATGTATGTAGGCTACATTTGCTTACCGTGTTGCTGCATGTCAGTCTGCACTCTGCATTGTAACCGTAGTAATCCAATAGGACCATGCTGTTTGCGAGTGAGTCGTATTTGCCTCCGTAAACAAACAAATCCCGGAAGTAGGGGCGCTCAGTGCGCACTTTTTGATTGGACGCTGGTTGTTTAATCCAATGCTCTGATGCGCTGGAGATCGCCTCCCGCCTTTTGCGGAAGGAGGGAACTCACCGAAATAAAACAAAAGGCTGAGAAAAATTGATTTTATGTTCAAGAGGAAGAGAAATGCAGCAGATGATGATACTGTGGCATCAGAGTCGGCACCTCGTTAAACTTGGGTGTGCTCCTCTTGTACAAAGCCTACAGGTACAGTACCTGCAAGAACCTTATTCTACCTACTGAGCATTTTTGGTCTAAAAGAGGTCTAATAGACGTCTGAATGTAGCCTTGACGACTGGTCTAAAATCAGGCCACCACAGGTCTAAAAATGAAAGGTTTTTAGACATCTAAATTTAGACCAAGTTTAGACTAACTGTATATTGCTCAATAATTATTTTGGTTGAGGACTTGGAGATCAGTTATGCAGACATGTTAGACATGTTTCTTCGAGTGCTGTGTGTTTGAAATCTCCTTAAAAGGAACTAATCTCTGACACCATAGTGAACTTTACCAACCTTAAGAAAACTTTTGGATATGTGATCTTTAGCAACCCTCCACAGGTGCCACTCCCTTGTATCCAAACTGCAGAGATTCTTGTACTCACATCATCCCTTACTTTTGCTGCCAATGCAAAAATAGTCTTTGAATCTTTTAAAAACTAGAGCAGAAATAAGTGCTGTTAATGTTGTTTGGTCAAGAGCAGTTTGTTTTTGTATGGAGCGTGAAAACCTGAAATTAAGTGCACCATCGTTGAAAACGGATCCAAATCTTCTAGGAAATGTTTAAATGTCTACATTTTAATTGAACAATGCATCTTCTTCTTGGTAGGAGACAGTTGTAAAAAAAATCTTCTGGGAAGTAGTCAAAGATTTGAATGAATAGTGTGGTTTAAGTGGAGAGACGCAAACAAGCAAGGGCTTGGTCTTGTGTTGGCAAGGATCCACAAGCCAAAACACAATGCCAAGAAAAATAAAAGGCACGCAGCTACATCTGTGCTAAACTTTCCAGCAGTGCTTGATGTTGCACAAGATTCATGACACAATTTGATGGAGACTCATCACCTGTCAGAACACTGACAGAGTTGAAAACCTGCCAGATTTGACTGAATAACTAACCTTGGGCTTACAGTAACAGGCGTGGCTGTTTTTCATTGTACAGGATACTTTGCTGAAATAAAAGGTTAAGACTCAAGAGGGTGCCCTGCTGTCATGGATATTCATGTGGAGAATAAAAGCAACAAAGAGGCTGAATTAAACAACAATGGCATTGTGTTAATTACAAGGTCTGCAGTTTGGTGTGAAGTTGAAGAGAAGTCATTTAAAGTTTTTAAAGAATAAGATGGGACCAGGGAGAGTCATTTTTTGATTGCATGAAATGAGCCTAGGGAGTGTGTATATGTGAGCGTGTGAGTGTGTATGTGTGTTGGGTGGGGTAGAACATCCATCTTAGGTAATGCTCCTCCCCCCGGCCCCACACACACCCTCCCACCAGCAGCAGCCGTGCAGCATAAAAAGAGGGCAGAGGTAGAGCTCTGTATCTCAGTCCCTCTCGTTTTCTCCAAGGCAGGCCACCCTCCCGAGAAATCATCACCATGAGCAGAATGTCAATGTCTTCTTCGCGCTACAGCACCTCAGGAGGAGGTTTCGGTGGATCCATGGGTGGAGGAGGCTATGGCGGCATGGTGAAGCGCACATACGCCGGAAGTGTCTATGGTGGTGCAGGTGGCTCTGGGTCAAGAATCTCCATGGCCTCTGGTGGTGGTGCTGGTGGCTATGGTTTTGGTCTTGGCGGTGGTGGCGGTGGCAGCAGCAGCAGTTACAGCTTCTCTGTAGGTGGTGGAGGAGGCTTTGGTGGAGCTGATTCCATGGACATCTCAACCAATGAGAAGGCCACCATGCAGAACTTGAACGATCGTCTGGCCAACTACCTGGAGAAGGTGCGCAGCCTTGAGAAGGCCAATGCAGAGCTGGAGCTGAAGATCCGCCAATTCTTGGAGAGCAAAACCTCACCCACTGCCCGTGACTACTCTGCATATGAGGCCACTATTGCAGACCTGCAGGGAAAGGTATGCCACATGACCTCTGATTCTTAAATGAAATACCATAATATCAGCATTTGAGGCTACAAATCAGCTATCAGAAGAAAATGTCCCTCATAATACTTTAAAACTGTAAAAACTTGTGTGCTTGGGTTTTCAATGTTGTTTATTTCATCACACAGATCCAGGATGCCACCCGTGTCAATGGAGGCATCTATCTGGCTATTGACAATGCAAAACTGGCAGCAGACGACTTCCGAACCAAGTGAGTCTCAGGGTGATATACAGAAGAGCCATCCACCAAGGAGAAAATAAGTTACTGTTTAACACCTGAGTTGAGTTTAAAGTAAAATATCTGCTCTCCTCTAAGGTTTGAGAATGAGCTTGCTATGCGCCAGTCAGTGGAAGCAGACATCGCCGGTCTGAAGAGAGTGCTGGATGAGCTGACACTGGCCAGATCAGATCTGGAGATGCAGATCGAAGGCCTCAAGGAGGAGCTGATCTTCCTCAGAAAGAACCACGAGGAGGTGAGTATTACATGTTTGGTAGATCTGTCTGGATTTGCTTTGAAGAAAACAGCAAACATTTTTATTTTACAAAACTGCTCTTAATTTACAGGAAATGGCAGCCATGAGGACCCAGATGACTGGACAGATCAATGTCGAGGTGGATGCAAAACCACAGCCAGACCTGAACGCCATTATTGCTGAGATCCGTGAGCAGTACGAGGTTTCAGCGGCAAAGAGCAAGAAAGAACTTGAATGCTGGTTCCAGTCGAAGGTAAGACCAAAAGCTGGGCTGTGGTGACTTTTCATGCTGTACTTCAAATCATGTGGTTTTATTTCACACGAATGATATCTTTTTTTTTTCTACACCAGACGGAAGATCTCACTAAGGAGGTGGCTGCCAGCACAGAAGTTATTCAAACATCCAAAACAGAAATAACTGAGCTCCGTCGAACACTCCAAGGCTTGGAGATCGAGCTGCAGTCACAGCTCAGCATGGTAATCTTCTTCTTCTTCGTCTTCTTCTTCTTCTTCTGCACTGTTACATGCACTACCTCCACCACAAAGAAAAACTTGGATGCACACCTTTGCATCCATTTTTTTTAGGAAACGGATTCTTTATCACTCTTCTTTTTAACTTTCTTTCCCCAGAAAGCGTCCCTGGAAGGCACATTAGCTGACACACAGGCCCGATATTCCATGCAGCTCTCAGGCCTCCAAATGCAGGTGACCAGCCTAGAAGAACAGCTATCTAACTTGCGCGTTGACATTGAACGCCAGAGCCAAGAATACAGTATGCTGCTCGATATCAAGACACGGCTGGAGATGGAGATTGCAGAGTACAGACGCCTGTTGGACGGAGAGGGAAGGTAATATATATTTGCAAAGAACACTTCTGTCTTTTCATCACCAAATTATGACTCTCTGTAAAACTGAAGCCCTTCACTAATTTTCAATGCACCCACTTTAATCCCCCCACCCCACAGTATGGCTAGCGGGACCGGCAGCAGCGGTTCAAGGAGCACCAACACGAGGGTGGTTGTGGTCACAGAGGAGCTGAAGGATGGCAGAGTGGTGTCCTCCTCCACCACCTCCACTTAAGCTGCCCCGCACAGCAAAACTTGAAGCAACTTCTGAGAGCCTTAAGCACAACATCTGAACCTAAACGTTTTTTCACACACTTCTGTGAATGCAATAAAAGGCTGCAAGTTTGCTCCCTACAATTTTGTCCTGTCTATTGTTTGACTATTTGTTCATAATGATATTGTTTCACAAAAAGCCACTATCCTATGAGAGTTATTTGATTCAAGATCCAATTATTTGACTGATAAGTGTATAATCCCTGCTTATCATTTAATCGCAACAGCTAAGTTATCAAAGCTTAAATACTTCTCTATTTTGACCACACAATGTCCTTGATATAAAGAAAGGAAACTAAGGCTCTGATTAAACATTTTCTGGAAGTCATGAAGCAAGACTAGAAAATCTGGACAAAAATTAAAAAGCACTCTTGTCAACAGTTTACTCTGAGATATAAGGGACTTCAAGAAACCAGACTCAGCTTTCTTACTCTGTAAACTATATCTGCATTCAATACTTTCCAAAACATATTTAGGAATGCGTCTTTATGCACAGAGTAAGAGTATGGCTCTAGGTTTAATTCTGCAGCTCTAGCTGTTCGTTTGCATATTTTAAAATAAGCATGAATTCAACTCTCTGGGCATCCAACTGGATAAGTTTACTTAGATTTGTTTACTTTAACCTAAAGCATGCTGGGACAGGCCTTTTAAAACTATGTTGGTTTACTAAGAGGCAAAGAGTGTGAACATTTGAAGAGATTACTCACAGACATTTCCCATGACAGACTTACTTTGCTATGTACTACATAAACAATACCAATATCAATATCAAAGCCACAAGATGTGAAGAAAAGGCCTTGCACCTTTGTGCACATTTGGGTGTGTCGCAAGTGAAAGGAGTGGACTGGCTGTGATTGATGCCGTCGCTCTGATATGAAATGTATGGAGTGGCAAATAGTACTGCCACTAACCTGTGGGTGAAGCCAAGCTTTCATGTGGTGGGGGGTCATTCATAAAAACAATTAGCTGTAGTTTCCAGTGGGTGGTGCTATCACCCTGACCTGTGCATATGAGTTAAGACTGGGACTGTCATCACACCTGTGATATTTGGAGCAAACGGGACGTTGTATATAGAAGTTAGGACTATGCATTACTACAGAGGGGCACTATTAGCATCATGCAAAATCTGCGTACAGGTAGATGTATTAACTCTGTATTAAGGGATGACCTTGATCATGTAATGCTGTTTCAAGCAGATTGGATAGTGTATCAAAGAGTTACACTGACGTCCTGATTTGTGGTGAGACATTGAACTGTAATGCACTGCCAGAGACCCACCCTTAGATAAACATGCACAAGTCCAAACAACAATGCTCCATCAAGCTGTGAAGACGTTGCTGATCACATTTGAAGTGAATAGGCTGAATAGAGGGGATGTACATCATTCCCCTCTGGTAGTAGAGGGGCACTTTCTTAAACCTTCTATGCTGAAATAGTAAATGGTAGCCTATGTGGACTGTGTTTTATATAGTGCTTCCTTTAGTCTTCTGACCACTCAAAAGTGCTTTTACTTAGCATGTCACATTCACCCATTCACAACACATTCACACACTGTTGGCAGAGGCTGCTAGTTAGGGTGAACATGTTCTGAATCCCCAAAAAGATATCACAACTATGGAGGCAGAGTCGCGCATAGTAAATTTTGAAATTTTTCTGCTGTTTGGGGCAGGTGGGGTCAAGCTTCTTGCCCAAGGACAACTCGGCATGCGGACAGCCCTGGGATTCACCAACCTTCTGAGTGGGACACGACCGACTCTACTGAGCCACAGCTGCCCACAGAAGTGTTGAGTTAGGGATCTTTTAGGGAACCAACATTGTACATGAGAATTATAAGGATTTATAGTTTTTCCCCTATTGCCAAAATGACAGCAGATTTCAACCCTTTGTCAGGTCAGCACCCTCTGACGCGAAACCCTTGGATAACTTATATCTCCACTGTACACATATCCAATGAGGGGTGAAGTGGACTCACCCAAACACAAGCTTTTTTCCAAATAAGCATCTCGTGTATCAAAACAAAATCAGTCATTCAACTGAAATTTATGAACCTCATGTCAAGTCCTCCTCATAATGGTAATTTTTTGTAGGATGGTAGGGGAAGGTCCCGCCTCCTTTGCCTCTGACTGGCCGTGAAACGTCATCACACGCTCAAACCGAGCGCGGGCTGTCGGCTCTAAAAAATAATAAAATTACAGAACATTAACGCAATTCTGAATCTCCTAACCCTAACCGAACAGACGATGACGTGATGGGACCTTCCCCTTCCATCCTACGAAAAAATCCTGTGTACTGGGAGGACAACAACAGCAGTTTACAGCCGGTACAGCGGTACACAAACTGTCACCCCTGCAATGTATGTAGACTACATTTGCTTACCGTGTTGCTGGATGTTAGTCTGCACTCTGCATTGTAACTGTAGTAATCCGATAGGACCATGCTGTTTGCGAGTGAGTCGTATTTGCCTCCGTAGACAAACAAATCCCGGAAGTACGAGCGCTCACTGCGCACTTTTGATTGGACGCTGGTTGTTTAATCCAATCCGTTGATGTGCTGGAGATCGCCTCCCGCCTTTTGCGGAAGGAGGGAACTATTAAAAACACAGCTGCTTCAATCTTAACACCGAAATAAAACAAAAGGCAGAGATAAATGGATTTTATGTTCAAGAGGAAGAGAGATGCAGCAGATGATGATACTGTGGCATCAGAGTCGGCATCTCGTTAAACTTGGGTGTGCTCCTCTTGTACAAAGCCTTCAGGTACAGTACCTGCAAGAACCTTATTCTACCTATTGAGCATATTTTGGTCTGAGAGCAGTCTAATAGACGTCTGAATGTAGCCTTGACGACTGGTCTAAAATCAGGCTACCACAGGTCTAAAAATGAAAGGTTTTTAGACGACTAAATTTAGACCAAGTTTAGACTAACTGTATATTGCTCTATAATTATTTTGGTTAAGGACTTGGAGATCAGTTGTGTAACTCACAGTTGATTTTTGGAATAAATAGATAATATTTGGAATAAATATCGAATAATGGGTTAAAGTGCAACGTCTAAATTCTGCCAAAAAATATACAGAATTTAAATGGTTGAAATAAGGTCTAGAATAAAACTAGATGTCTAATAACCGTCTATTGCTCAGTGGGTACTTTCACCCCTGGAGACCACGGCCAGGGGGCTCCAAGAAAAATCGCTCAGGACCGCTACTAGTAAGACCCATGAAACTTCTCACTTTTGGCAAGGTCTGTTGCATGTGTGGACCTTGTTATGTCATTGTGCATGTTTAGGCATTCAGGCAGATGAAAAAAAAACTGCTGTGGGACTTGAAAAACTGTTTCCACGCCTCCATTGTGTGTTTCTCATCGTGACAAATTAGCTGGAAGCCCAACATGCCACACCTAAAAACTTTTCCTCGTGCTTTATTTCCCCTGAGGCAGAGGAACTCTTTAATTTGCTGGCAGATTATAAATTAGATGTTTTGGCTGACATACAAGCCAGCACCTTTGCAGCCACTAAAAGAAGTAACTATGTAATCCTGTTTGAGCGGCACATTGTCAATGTAAATTCTTTAATATAAAATCTATTGATGCTAAAGTCTGTTCAGTATCTAATGGCTTACTCTGTCCTCTGTGCAGCATCTTTGAGATTTATGTCTTGGTAAATAACTAAATAACTGATTATTCACCAGAGGTTGTAAAAACGAGATGTGGAAATGTTAATCATAAACACACTGGGAGAGGAAGATTAGGTCAACTGCATGATCTTTATTGATTTTTGCTGTGATTCGCAGTGATTTATCCCTCGATCTGATCCACGTCAACGTCAACTGTCTTGCTGCTCTCCACGACCTTTCCATCCACAACAGTCTCCACCACTGTGATGACCTTTGTGACCACTGAGAAAGGGACAAGAAACAACGGTCAGAACCACATCACATCAAATCTATACAATATGGGAGGTGATGTAATGATCAAATGATGCATATGAGGCATTACTTACCTTGTTTTGTGCTGGTAATGGGAAAGAAAAGAAAGAACAAAACCATTAGTCTCAAGCTTTTTTAAAGATTTTTTGACATTGTGATTTCATGTTGGCTCTGTCAGGTCTCACCTGTCGTCCTCTCCATCCAGGAGCCTCCTGTACTCTGCAATCTCCATCTCCAGCCGGGTCTTGAGGTCCAGCAGCATGTCATACTCCTGCTTGTTGCTGGCGATGTTGGCGTGGAGCTGGGACAGCTGAGCCTCCAGGCTGGTTACCATGCTCTGGAGGTTTGCCAGCTGCGCAGCGTAACGGGCCTGAGTCTCTGCAAGGGTGCCCTCGAGAGATGCTTTCTGTTGGAGTCAGGGGACAAAGTTGGTCAGTAAGTAGATCAGAGACTGAAACTCAAGAGATGGTAACTTACAAGCTGCCCGTGTAAAATCTGCTGCACACCTGCACAAGGCAAGTGGGATTGTGTGGCTGGTATCATGTATCTTACTAACTTTCTTGCGTATTGGGTCAGAGCATTGATGATTCTAACAAATCTTTGCACTAAAGATAGAAGATGCACTTTTTTTAACCTAAGGTTATCACGATAGATTGCTTGTTTGTTTAAAAGTTTTAAAACCTTTGCGAGAATTTGCTCACTGTAACTTTATTTTTAATTGTAAGGTAAGGACTGTTATCCCTCATCCTAAACTTCATCATGTAACTACGGATAATTCATGCAAATATTTCTGGCAGTTTTTTCTTACATATCCTCAGTGATATGTGTGTTTGACATACCATGCTCAAGTGGGACTGCAGTTCAATCTGAAGCCTCTGGAGGGTGCTCTTCAGGTCCTTGATTTCTGTGCGGGATGTTGACAGGGTCTCTGTGTGTGTGATCACTTCCTGTTCAACTGCTGCGATCTAGGAAGGTTGTAAAACAGCATTAGTATCCTCTATAGTAGACACAGTATAACGGCTCTTGAAAGGTCGCCTGTTCTCCTCAGAGTCGTATCTTCTCACCTTGTTCTGGTACCAGGCCTCCAGCTCTTTGCGGTTCTTGCCGATGGCGCCCTCATAGTGCTCCCTGATCTCTGACATGACCTTGTTCAGGTCTACAGAAGGAGAAGCATCCACGGCCACGTTAACCTGTCCGCCCATCTGACTCCTCAGCAGAACCATCTCCTGCAGGGGTCAAAAAACAACAGATGATAAGCAGGAGCCTTTTCTTGAAATGATTAATGTGATTTTGATCACCTTTGATGCATGCAAGCTGTTGAGTTTAGTTTTTTTAATCCCTTTGGTGTGTGTCCATGTGTGAAGGAGAGTTAAGACAAACAGGAGCCATGAGCTAATGAAGGGAGAATGGAGGAAGAATAGGAGGAAGTGTGCAGAGGGAGAGAGAGGCGACAGACCTGTTTCCAAGAACTTTAAGCCAACACTGGATTTCCTCTGTGTTATCAGAGGTAAAGCAGAGGGCATTTTTGAGCAAACAAAGAACAGATGAGGACATAATAGATGGCTGTAATGAATGGTGACAACTCTGTCTCACTGTGAATGGTTAGTGTTTGACTCCCTGCTCCTGAAAGGATGACTGATTATACGTTCGATTAATCGGTGGTTATGTACACAGAGTGGGTGTTGGCCTGCCTGTGGGAGTGCAGAGGTGCTGACAGGTGTTAAGTCGACAGTAAGACTCAGTAAGATTTGTGTGCTCTAAAAAATGGGCGCAGCTTTCTTCACTCCTCACCTCCTCGTGGTTCCTCTTCAGCATGATGAGCTCGTCTTTCAGGGCCTCATACTGGCTCTCCAGATCCATCCTGGTCATGTTCATCTCATCCAGCACCCTCTTCAGACCAGCAATGTCAGCCTCCACGGCCATCCTCATGGCCAGCTCGTTCTCATACCTGAGGGCGTGAGCAGGTCAGAGCTCTTTTTAGTGGGTGGGTTAGGGTCAGGACATGATTTCACACTTTGGTGCATCTGTGAAGTTTCACTTTTGTGACAGAGCAAAGAAAGCACCTACTTCATTTTGAAGTCATCAGCAGCCAGCTTAGCGTTGTCAATATCCAGGACAATCTTGGCATTAATCCTGGAGGCAACACGGATCTGAGGAAGACAAACAAAACGGTGAAACAGGTCAGCAAAAATAGAGCCCTGCCCATGTTTGATATATTTTGATTTCAAGGAAATCTCAGGAAATCTAAAGAAATCTATCAAATAAGGAGGAATAATGTTTCACGCATTCATAATGAACTTCATTAATAAACTCCTGTAAAAATTCCGAATCCACTTCAAATGACATAGAGCTTGTTTGCATAGATTTGACCTCAAGCCAACACTGTTTAACTTCATGAAGCCCAGCTTACTAAGTAGACCAGATGTGTTTGCTGTTGTAAGGATAGTGGGGCTCTGGTGTAAACCTACATTACAGCCTCACATGAGTAGCACTGCAACATCTAGCTGTAGCAGCAGGATGTGATGCACAGTAATGACAGGAATGTATCTGGTATGACAGTTATGACAATAAGCATCTCATGTTCTGGTCGTGGTATGTGGTTTTTTAGTGAGATGGCCTACTTCTTCATGGGAACCTTTTTAGTTTTTGGGCTTTCTACCTCATATTCTGACTAACAAACTCTCTAACATAATGCATAAAAACAAGCTAACCCTGCACACTCACTGTTAACCTTCAATCGAGACCATATGAGTCTTACCTTGTCCTTCAGGTCATCGATGATGGCAAAGTAGCGGGTGTAGTCATGGCTGATGACGGTTCTGTTCTGGTACCACTCTCTGATCTGCTTGTCCAGGCGGTCGTTCTCCTTCTCCAGGGTGCGCACCTTCTCCAGGTAGGAGGCCAGACGGTCATTCAGGTTCTGCATGGTGGCTTTCTCGTTGGCTCCAACATGGAGGTCCAAGCCGTCGGAGAGGTTGAAGCCTTTGGAAGAGGGTGCAAAGTTCATCTGAGAGGAGGAGATGCGGGTGCCATGGCCGCCTGCTCCTCCGTAGACACTCATGGTCTTCTGACCGTAGGATCTGGTGCTGAAAGACATGCTGGAAGGTCTGGATGTTGACCAGGTAGGATCACTGGAGTAGATCTGCAGTTGTAGGCATCACTTTGGCCTCCCCAGTTATATAGTCGCCGCACACAGCAGAGTGGGATGGGCCAAGGGGAGCAGTTGAAAGGGAAGAATGTGGCCAGCAGGTTTCCCCCCTACTCCCCTATGCAATCTATTCATCAGCAGGGGTGTGGTGATGGGTTGGTAGGGGTTCATCCACTTTTTTCAGGTAGAACTTGTGATTCCACATTTTGGGTTTTTCCACAGAAAGAGCATTCTTCAAATACTCTCCAGCACATTTTTCAAGAGTCTTAAGCCTTTGGTGGATTGCAAATGCAGCTTTTCAGTGTACTTGACCGAAAAGCAGGTTTAGAGACAAATATGCATAGTTTCAGATCGTAGAGTCAGGTAGAAGAAAGTGCTGAAACTGTCCTGTAAAATATTCGCTCACAGCAGTGACAGAAATGGCACATACCAGTGACAATTTCACCTCAGTGAAACTTGGGGGCCAAAGGTTTAACACAAGGCGTTTCTTAGATAGCTTAGGTTATTTTTGTCACTTGAGGCTCCAGGCAGCATGTTCAAAAGTGTGTTAATTAAGAGTTATACGATGTAATGGCACTGTGCAAATTTACTATTCAGGAATTTCACCCAGCCCACCTTGACCTGTTTGACGACACTCGCCCAGAGATGCAGGAAAAAGGAGAGTGAACAGCAAAGAAACAGAGCGCATGGGTCTGTGTTTGGTTTACATGGGAAAAAGAAACTACTTAGACTAAAATCAAACCTCCAGTTTAATCATCGTGTTGCTAAATGTGTCTTTTAAGGTGGTATCTACATAATTGTTCTATTTCTACTAAACAGAGCTTTATTTTTCTGCTAAGATGCAACATTACAAAGTAATGGCAATTACTTTAGTTTATTGACGCATGAACTGTAACTTAACTTACTCTGTGTTTTAATCACAGATAGGGTCACTTGTTGAACAAATTTTGCACCAAAAGTCAGATTTATTGGGGGGTTTTCAAACTTACAAATTGCTTTCTACAGTTCATGTGACGTGTTTTGGCAGTTTTTTGATCAAATTACCTTTAGTTGGTGTCATAGCATGTAACTCAAGATTTACTCTTGTGTCACCCTCACTTTAGTTACCTATTCATTACAAAATAAACACTGAAACAAACAAAATTGTGGCTGATAGTTTGCAATAATTTGGTCAAAAAAGAGGCTCCTGTTTTAATTTCTGTTTCTGTGCCAGTAGAACTTCTGTCAGGAGCTGTAATATAGGAGGCTGTATAGATATATGTTTGTATATGTTCTTATCTCAAACACGGGTAACTCATGCTAGCAATCTAGAGAAACATAAAACATGTAAAAATACTGATGAGCATATTGAATTTCCCTTCAGGAATCAATAAACTTCTTCTTCTTCTTCTTCTTCCTCTTCTTCTTTGATATGACATTATGACATAACAGCTGCGGTTGGTTACTGAAGGAAATCAAATTGAAACCTTGATTTTTTTAATGTTGTAAGGCAAGGCAAGTTTGTATAGCACCATTCATACACAAGGTAATTTAAAACACTTTACAGATACAAGGAAATACATAAGAATTTTACAAAAATTACAATAATTTAAAATCAAAACGACATAAAATGATTTAAAATCAATAAGACAAACAGAAACATTTTTTTCATATGTTCCACATTTGCCCTGGACACCATGAAAACAATTGTTTGCCAGAAAAACGAAATAAGTCACAAGCTTTTAGACCCGGGGCTGCCAAAATGTTGATTAATTTTTTCTTCGTCTATCTCGGACAGTTTGAGCTATCTTTTCATCTATCTCAGACGGTATTAGTTGTGCTAGTTTTCTATTGGTCTATCTCTGATGGCATTAGCTTTCTCTTTGTCTGTCTCGGACGGTATTAGTTGTATCGGTTTTCTCTTGGTCCATCTTGGACAGTATTAGTTGTACTAGTTTTCTTTTTGTCTATCTTAGATTATATTAGTTGTACTAGTTTCCTCATGGTCTATCTGGGACAGTATGAGTTGTATTAGTTTTCTGTTGGTCTAACTTGGACGGTATCAGTTTTCTCTTCGTCTATCTCGGACAGTATTAGTTTTCTCTTTGTCTATCTTGGACGGTTTTCAGTTGTCTTTCATCTATCTCAGGCGATATTAGTTGTATTAGTTTTTTCGCTAGTTTTCTATTAGCCTATCTCGGATGATATTAATTTTTGTCTTCGTCTATCTGGGACAGTATTAGTTCTCTCTTTATCCATCTTGGATGCTATTAGCTTTCTCTTTGTCTATCTCGGACAGTGTTAGTTTTCTCTTCATCTATCTTGGACGGATTAGTTGTACTAGTTCTCTCTAAAACTGTAAACACATAAGGAAGTTTAAATATTCTCCCAGACAAAGAAAAGCTATTAAAGATGGTTTTTCAGAACTGCAACTCCACCAGTCACAGACGTACATTCAGCCTATCCCAATTGATTCTTGTAAAACTGTTTGTTATGATCACTGGTACCTTCTATAGGTACAACGACAACCTTCTCAAAATGTACCAGCCAGTTTTATGGGTGGGTGGTTGCCTTGTCATAACAAAAGCACATCCCCATGACAGTAGAAAATGATCACCTTGCTGTTGTTATTTCTTTGAACAAAACAGCTGAGCTGCCTGTCTGACTCCTTCTTTCATCATTTCATCAAGTTTTCAGTCAGTGGGCGCTCTGATAAGCAGGGTGATGTCTGAAAAGGTTGGTGACTGATAGTTAGAGATCGTATCTGAGGAATGTTAGTCAGCCTGAGTTCTGAAATATGTACAAAACATCATGTTAAACAGTATGAGAGGCTCATGACACACATTTTATTCTGCTGACATGTGTCTGGTTGTCAAATGATTTATGGAAGCGCCCATTTGAACAGCTTGGCCTCATTTTATTTTTTAAAGTTGATTTGCAGTTTTTGTCTTTCCGTCAAAAACAAAGTAAAACTGTACTGTTCTGAACTTTTTAAACAGGAAAAAAGTGGTGTCTTTCTGAGCCCCCTTTACTTTTTACTAGCTACTTCAATATGTTGTGTCTGCAGAGCTGAAGGCTGCAGGTTCAGGACTGCAATTCTGCGCCTGTGACCTTTGTGTTCACACAACAGTTATTGTAAGGTTTAAGGTAAAACAAAAAAGGGTCTTTGTCATTTAGTCCCGGATCTGCAGCCTCCAGGTCTGCAGACACATGCTCACTAAAATTCACTAAATGGTTTGGTTCACCCCGCAAGAGTAACACCACCAAGCTGAGAGCAGTCAAAGGAGTGAAGAGAGCTAAATGAACCAGCACAGTGACAGCAAAGAGAAAGAAAAGTCAGGATTAAAAAACAGAAGGAGAGAAGGGGAAATGTTTCAAGGAATGTTTTTCCCCCAAAAGTGTAGGGAACAATTCAAAACACAAAAGAGTAGTTTTGAGACGGTTCAGGCTGACTTCAGATCATGACTGAAGTCTTTCTTTGATAAGATCTGAGCTTCATATGAATATGAGATATAAAACAGTCAGTATCAGAGGTAAAATCTCATATGACCTTATTTTAACATATTACTTTACGAAGGAGGCTCAATTGAGATCCATTTAAGTCAAGAGTTATTTGACTTATAATAATGTAGTTTTGTTACTCTAGCTTGGTAAATGAGTCCTCTACTGCCTTAAAAAAAACATTTTTTATCCATATTTATTGTTTGTCATTCACTGAAACTTAAATATATTTAAATATTCAGATGCACAAAGTTATAGTTATCAAAAGCTTTTAAGGGTCAGCAAAGGTGAGGTTATGCTACCTTGTTTGTACATTCAGATTTACTACAGTGTAATATGAACCAATCCACTTATTTATAAAACCTTTAATCCCTTCTCAGGGCCTTGCAGGTCTAACAGCTATCCAGTTTGCTAATGAATAGCTTGTTAAACAACTTTCTCAGTCTTATCGGGACCTTTTAAAACATTTCCCTCAGCTATGAACAGAAAAAAAGAGCTCTTTTGTTCCCTCAAAAATGTTGCTTGGCCTGCCTTAGCGACACCCTGCAGTGTTACTACAAATTCTCCCCTTAAGACAATTGATGTGGATGGTATGTTTGCATGGGTATGAGGAATTTCACTCCTTTATTTACTCATGTTAGTGCAAACGGTCTGTGTTATACATTAAAAAAGATAAACGTGCGCTGGGGAATAATATTAGACAGGAAAGAGATACAGATAATTCACAGATAAATCACATTAATGCAGAAAAACTTGAAGACTTGTAAGAATAAGGTGCAACAATGAGCAATGAGAGACACTGAAACAGGGACTTCATGTGAACAGCTTCTAGGAGCAGACACTGAGCGTTTAGGTTTTTAAATGAAGAATGGCAAACATACACAGGCTTTGATTTATTTAATTAAAATGAGATAGAAAGAGTCATGTCATCAATGTAAGTTTCAACTTTTCATCTGGTTATGAAATAGACTAAAATAAACAGATATATGCATAGGACTTACACAAGCTAAAAAGACCAGCAGTAACAAAAGTCATTTATAGCCATCAGTTTAATACTAAAATTGTAGTTGTTAAGTTAAAAGATAAATCGTTGAAGAGAGTTTTCTGAATATCAGGTTAAACTCAAAGAGTTTTAAGTCAGCAGTAGATCTACCATGAAATCAAATTCTGCAGCTTACACCCTCTTAAAGTGCATCCAGAGGTGTAATCTTGTATTTGTCTCACAAACTTGCTTCACTTTCTCCTTCAGTGGATTCAGGAAAACCTGCTTTGATCCTAAAGAAAGTTACGACATTCTGGCTAATCCTGACCAAGCAAATACTCCCCACCTCCCCTCGGCCCTCCACACCCACTTTCTCTCTTTCAAACAGAGCAGGAGGAGGAGAGTGAAGGTGGCTTATCTAATGACAAAAACAAGACAGACTGCATTTTCTTTCTTTTCTCGTTTTTACATTAGAAGACTTCTCCTC